TGAGAGCAAGCCAGCAGGTCTGCGCCAGGAGTGCACCTAACACAACTCAGTCACTCTCAGGTGTACAGTCCCTGACAGCAAACAAAATGTTGTCCAAAGCAACCTCCTCCCCTCCCAGGAGCTGTAGTTCATAAAGTCTGGGGCCTTGGCAGGGAGTATTTTGCCCCACAGATCTGCTGATCCATGCTGAAGGAGCCAGACAGTGCCTGAGTGAGCTGGAGGGGAACCAGCACAGTATTTGTGACCCCAGGAACAGGTAAAACTGAATGGGGTTCTCAGCTGTGCCAGCATATGGGTAGCTGTGCCCCTCAACCCTGTCTGTCAGACTGAGCCATCAACTTGAATGACAGGTCTAACTATTACGTACCTGCACATGCATGATGGAAAAAATCAGTGTTTTAACTGAAGGGGATTAAAGGCCTGACCAGGAAATCCTGTGTCAGGTGAAAGCACTTACCATGACAAATGTTTGCTTCCTTGATCTTCGACACTAGGCAACTGCAGAGCAATTATTGGTGGTGTCTGGTTATAAAAGACAGACTCATGAGGAGTCACGTATCAGTGGCCTCTAGAGGCAAACATTTGTTTTTCATTTTTTTCTCTGTGAGGGGGTTGCTCTTGTTTTACTTTGAATACATCAGCTACAGTGGCAAGGTGAGCAAGAGGTTATTTTCTGTTCTGACTTTTTTTCTAGCTCTTCTGAATAAACACACCTGTGAATACACTGAGCATCGGGTCTCCTGTCTGTAGACCTAGGTTTAATGGCTGTTAGTGGAAAGCGTATTTAAGCCAAGCATGAACAGCCATTGAAAGGAGGTTCCCTCAGCTCTTAGATGCTCAGGACTGTAAGATCAGCTGTGGGAGATCAGCCACAAGTTGCTGAATCCAGAGAGAGCTGTAAAGGGCTGGGAAGCTGATTTATTTTATAACAGTAAAAGTTAGTGTCCTGGTTTTTGAAGAGATTTTCTGTGCATGGGGGGTGTTTTGTGTAGAGCTGCAATTTGTTCCCCAGAGAACTGCAGAGAGCCAGCAAATGAGGGTTCTGAAGTTAGCATGGAGAAAGATCGCTGTGTGCTGTCATCTCTGACTGGAGGGGAACAACTTAATTCTGTAGACAGGGTTGTTATTCTTGGGAGAAGAAGACTTTGATTAGGATTGTGTGAAAGAATTTGATTCTAAACACAGGTCTGGGTTTTGTAGGCCCAACAGGCTCTTTTGGGATTGCTCTTTGCTTTTTCTTTCTTAGCTCTATTTAGCCTCTTAAATTTTTCTTATTCCCTATTCCTCCTCCCATGTTGTGGAAAAAAGGAACAGCAGAGATTGCATTCTTGCATGTAGTATCCCAGGGAAGCTGCTATCATCAGGTGGAGGTCTCTGATCACTGACAGTCCTGAGCTCTTGCGCAGGTACATGAAAGAGCAAGTGAGGAGCCTGACTCCCCTGACACGGAGTGACAATTTACACCAAAGCTGAGCTCTGAGCAAACATGGGCCAAGGTGCCAGGCCTAGCCATTTCAGGAACAGTCTGCTCTCTCTTCCCTCCTACTACTCCTCTGTCTCCTGCTCAATGGAGTTCATTTTCCTCAGCATTGCTTCCACATTCCTGCTTGGAAAAACCCAAAGGCAATGTGCATACAGGGTAGATCAGTGAAGTTCAGTTGTATGCAAGACCCTGTTAAGCCCATTTGCTATTCTTAAATGATTCACATACTGGAAAATGCTAGAAAACCTATGGCATTGCTGACTATCCTTGCAGAACAAAAGAACTTGGATAAAGAGGCTTACAGATCATCCTACTATATTATGTATTTGCGGGAGAAATGAGGAAGAGTCTATGCTGTTACAGAGAGGAAACTGAAAAGGCTGGCATATGGGCTGCCACAATTACTCTGAAGGCCACGTTGTCATTATTTTCTCCAGGAAAACAAAGAGTTGGGAGGAAGGTGAGGAGTGAAGGGATTCCCAAATAGCCTCTCAATGGCGCATACCAAGTCATATCTCTAAATAAATCAGCGGGTAACATCCCTATTTGAACATGGAGAAGATGCATTTTTGGGGCATGCATATACATCTGTAATCCTGAGAGTAATAACATTATACAGACAGAGACACTGTTTATAAAATACAGTGTTTCTGAGTGTGTAAATAATCACCTTATATGGCTCCTGCTTTGAAGGCAGGCAAATACCTGTTTGTGCATCCTCACATTCTGCTCTGATAGCTTACCTGAAGAGTAAGCCAGACTTCGTCATATGTTAGGGGTTTGGCTCACTCAAAAAGCAGCGAAGGGAATACCTCAGTTGGGAAGTGGAGACACAATAAAAGGGTCTGAGAACTTGTCTCCTGCAGCTTTTAGCTGGTAGTAGAAGAGGCGCGACTATCTACTCTTGCTTGGTCACCAGGGAGAAAGTGCACTACAAAACAGGAGCTGGAAAACTCTTACATTCAAGGTCTTGTTTATGGGCAAAAACCAAGCACACCATATATGTGTGTGTGTATATAAAGCCATCAGTGCTAGTATAATGGATATCTTAACAGACTAACTCAAGAATCATTATTACATGAGCCGATTATTACTGAGAAATTGAACAATAATGCAGGTAGAATGCTTATATACAGAAAAAGTCACAATAATAACAATAACAGAATTAAAAATGTAACACAGCTCATTCCTCCGCTGTTTTGCTGTGTCCTAAGGTCAGTGGTTGTATGCTGGTGCTTTTGGTAGTGGGATATTACAGCAAGTTGTCAGAACCTGGAGTCTTTCACAGGCAGGAATGTGATGTTTGTGTTAATGGGTTGTTGGGTTTTTTCCTTCTTTTTTTTTTTTTTTTCTCAATCTTTTTTCTCTTTTCTTTTCTCTTTTACTTTCTTTCCCCCTTCCCTTACTTAAGGTCATATATGTATGTTTGCTCACACATATTTACACCTTTCTTTTTCTTCACTGGTCTGCAGCTCCAGGCTACATATGAATTTACTATATACAGTGACATTTACACATTAAATACAATTTCCTTGCTCTCTTTGCTCCCCCCAAAAACAGTTCTGTCCAGCTCCAGGTCTGCAGGTTGGGACTATTTATGTATTTTAATGGTTTGGCTGGGAAACATGTTTGTGTTTGCCACCTCTGCTATAGGGCTAGGCACGTTTAGCAGAGGGTACAGTGGTAGTGACTACGAATGGTAGGGTTGTTGGCACTTTTTCTTATAACCTCAACTATTTGCAAGTAACCTGGAAAAACTTAATTACGGTATTAATCAAAGCACAGTGAAAGATGTGAAGAGCTGTAGGAAAAAATCAGGAAAGCTGAAGGCATAAAATAAAATGCCATGGCCTTTAGTAAACAGCACAGTTCAGATCTTAGAGGATCTAGACAAATATTACCTTTTATATCACTATACCATTTCATGGAGCAGACGATAATCACGGCTAATACTTGTCCCAGCTGCACATAGTGTGCTTCTCTACGCTAAAGGTTTTTTCAGATGGAGTAATATTAGGGCTACTATGTTTCCAATTTTTTCTTTTTTTTTTTTTTTTAAAATGACAGCATAATTATAGGCACAAAAAGAAAACAAGAGGAAAGGACTAAAATTACGATCCATGAACAGTCCAAGTTAGAAGAGATTATTTGCTGCTAGGACAATGCCTAGGAAAAACTAGTGAAATAAATGAGGAAGAAGCCTCTTATTTTTTTTGTTCTCAAGAGCCGTGCTTCTCCAGGACTGATTAAGGCTCAAGTTCTTCAGTAAATTGCACAGTTAATTGCATGGTGCTGCGGTAAGTGCTATTGCTGTGCTGCAGCTCCAGAAAGAACTAGCAGATGAGAAAGTTCAGGGATCGACTTGAATCCAACTTTGCCAGCAGCTGAGCTAGCGTACCATGAGGTTCAGTACTGCCTGTGTTAGACTGCAGAGCTCCATATTGCTATGGCTAGTTTCTGTGACCTACCCAAACTGGCTAATACAGAGCTGAAACTAAATGTATAGCAGTAGTTTATCTTTGTTAACTGTGCTTCTGTATCTCCACCCAATGGCTTGAAAAGTTTCTAAGTGGAAATTAATTTGTGAATTGTAGATTCCCTTTTCTTATATATCCCTTTCCTTCTACTTAAAAATTATTGTGTTTCTTGATTTCCTTCTCAAGGGAATTACTGAGGCTCCAGCAGAGTGGGCAAGAATTTACTGCAGAAAGGACTTACCCTTAGGGCTGAAGGTTTCTTGCAGAACGACCAAATCCAGTCAAGCCACCTTGTGCCTCCAGCAGGCAGGAATACCTTACATTGCACAGAAATCTCCCTCATGAATGTTGAGGGTGAGGATGGAGGAGGAGTGGTCTTTGTCTTCCATTCTTTTTACAATGGGGATTTTCAACAATCAGCAGTCTTTCGACTGCTGATTTGGGACTGTTGAGCTCCTGTTTATCTGCTGCAAGGAATGTTTGCTTAGCTGGTGAGCTGAAGTGTGGCAAGTAGAGATTTCACCAGTTAACTGCCTCCAGAGAGGTGGATCACTGTGATGGATACAAGTCTCACAGAAAACAGAGCTCTGCTACTGGACTTAAGTTCTGTAACTTATCTGAAGAAAAATCAGAAACTGGTGTTTTCTGTTCTGGCTGCAAAATGCAGAGATAGTCAAGGTCTAATTCTTCTACTTCCAGTCCTTGCAGGCAATAGAATACGTTCAGGTAGTACAGTGGGACAAAACTGTAATTTCTCCTAAGATGTGACCTCATAGAATCAATAACCCTTTGGAAAGTCTTACTTCAAGATCTTAATCGTCTTTTCCAAGTCCTGGTTGTCACAGATATCCTGGCCCTGGGGGAGAAAGTAGAGGTTCAGTCTCATTCCCAAGAATTCTCGTAGGTAATGCCTAGGAGATAGAAAGCATCTATACAAAGTATACCTACCTAAGATTTATATGGGAAGTACAAGGCTGGAATGCACTTGCTTTTGGCTGAAACATAGCTACTTAATTTTTTATTTTTTGATTTTTAAAATTAGACCTGCAGTGGAGACCGGGACAGGTTCAAGCATCTGTCTCTATGCTCTCATCTTTGGAGAAAGGAAAAAGTAATGTTAGAGCTGCTAGTGTAAAGTTTGTATTTGAAGGGGGAGAATTTATGTTTTCTATGCTGCTGAAAGTCTCCCCTGGAAAGAAAGGAAAAAAACCCCACACAACCCTTGCACCCCCCCAGAAACCCAAACCAAAATAAACACCCCCACCCCCCAACCAACAAAAACCACCAAACAAACAAACAAAACACAATGGAGAAATCAAAACTTCAGAGTCCCAGGAAATGAGGAATTGCTGTCACTCAAACTTTATTAAAAACACCCATCTTAATCTCCTGAATTCTAGTAATTGTTCAGCGTTTCACTTGCAGCTAAGAAGAGATCAGAAATATGACACTCATATGTTATTTCCCACCAGGCATTATGCATAAGTAAAAGCAACAGCTCCTCTTTGCTCTTCTGAGTGGATTGCAGTCGGTAGGAGTTTTGCTTTAAGCACAGCCTGCATGCAAAAGGGCATCTTTCACTGAAGAACTTTTCCCTTCTTCTATTTTTTCTTTTGAATATAGTAGAAACTTCCCCTTTTGAGGTAGACAGCGTTACAAAAGAACCTAAAAGAAACAGTTATCACTGAGAAACTGAAAATATTACCTGCTATTTGATTAGTATTTCCTACTGCTGCCATCAAACTGAACTGCTAGGGACCCAGGGATTTTGAAGAGACCTGTCAAGACCCTGAGATGCTGCTCATTCTCTTGAATGGAGATATAAAAAAATGACATCTGTCCATGTACTTTGTTATTTATGGGACTGGTTGTCATATTCACACTGGAGGGAATAATTGGAATGATAGCCACTTTTTCGATTTTCTTCTATCTAAAATGTCTACCTAAATGTGAGGAATAACGACCAGCAGGCTGGTGCTGGCTGGGGATATTTGAAACAGGAGCCTGCCATTGGTAAAGCGCAGGACAGGGAGGTCCGGCATGTTAGAAGCAAAGCTGCTGGCTTGCCTCCCAGCAGCAAGCAAAAGACAGGGTGACCCACACCCGTTACCTGTGGCTTCCAGAGTCTCTCAAGAGAGGTAACCGCAGAGAGGTCGGGTACTTTCCCAAACAGATGCAGTGCCTCTAGAAAGACGCTGCTGCCACCTGCTGTGCTACTTTGCTTTTGACTGCACAAACCCAAGCCCTGAGTATAATGATATTAAAGCTCATGTTTTCCCATTTCCCATGATTTGCCTACTAGGTTAGAAAAAGATGAATTGCTTTGCAGGTTTTACCCTGATTTCCTTGTAGTGGTCCTGCATTCTGCACTAACCACACAAAAGTAGTTCACAAGGCATGGTAAAGACCACATCACCTTTCTGGCACATGAGGGCACAACAATCGTTTCCTGCCCATTGCTTGTGATTGGCAGTGTCACCTGGCTTCGACAGCACTGACCTCCACCACTGGGATTTACCTGCGCTCTAGAGCACATGACAGAGAAGGTAAGGAGGTAGGACATCTGTATTAGGGATCCTACACCCTATGGCCTTGCCTCCAAATAAAATTAAATGTTTAACTTCATGTTCTATTGATTATTTTAAAATCCAAAGCTATTTAACTTTCCCCCATGTTACTGCGAGGGTGGTGAGGCACTGGAACAGGTTGTCCAAGGGAGCTGTGCATGCCCCATCCCTGGCAGTGCTCATGGCCAGGTTGGACGGAGCTTTGAGCAGCCTAGTCTAGTGGAAGATGTTCCTGTCATGGCAGGCGGGTTGGAATTTTGTGATCTTCAGGGTCCCTTCCAACCCAAACAATTCCACAATTATATGATTAGGTTTTTGGAATTACAGTTCTGTGAAAAAGCTTTTCACTCCTCTGCAGATGGCAGTTCATTCAGAAGTGTTAGTTGTATGTGCAAAGTTGAACACCCACTTTCAAACCTACTCTCTGTAAGATTGTTTGTAATCTGAAGTGTCTGAAAAAGTGGCACCTTTTTTGCTCAAGTGACCGCTTTTCCATGGTTTCTTGTGATCAGAGTTATCAAAGTACTGGAAGATCCTCTGCCTACCATATTTAAACACTGTGATATGAACAAAGCAAAACAGCCATTCAGCACTGAAGACTATTAACACTCTTGCCTAGACGATTTGAGTGATCTCTGAAAAAGTGAAAACATGATAGAGTTAACATTTTGTAGGGACCTGTGCTGTGAAAGATTCTTGGGTGATTTAATCTTTGGTTCATATTATGGGTATGCACCTTTTACTGTGGACCATCTGTAAAGAACATAATACTTTTAATGTGGACCAGCTGTAAAGAATGTAATACTTGTACAGAGTGTGAAGAACAGAGCAAGTGAATGTAAAGAATGGAGTATTTGCAGAGAATGGAGAACTTGTAGTACTTGCACGCTTCATGGTAACTGCTAAACAGAAACTGGTGTAAAATTGAACGCAAGTGAAAGATTAATTGTGGCCTGGAGTAGAAAGCAATAACTGTCAGACTGCTCAGAGTTTGAGGACTGTCTGAGAGCTTGGCGCTTTGAGGATTGTCATCCATTAGTACTGTAATTATGTTATTTTTATAATTCAGGCATGTAACAAAGGGTGATTACAATGTAAAGGAATAAATGTTCTGCCAGTAACATGAACACTGCCTGAATAAATTATTATTATTATAAAATAATTACTTAGATGTGGAAAAATATTGAAACAGCTATTTAAGCACTCAATTTGTAACCACCTCATCAGTAGCAAGGTGATAAGGAGCAACCATTGTGAGTCTGCCAACATCAAACTGAGTCAAACTAATTTAACTGCTTTCTTTGGCAGTGTCCCTGGGTTACGGAGCAGTTTGCAAACTGGTACCAGGGAAACAGCTTTAGGGGCTGGTGGAGAAATGTGGTACCAGAAAGATGCTGGGAACACAGCAGTGACTACAAGTGGCAGCAGTGACAGGGGTAGAGGCTTGAAGCGCGATGAGAGGGCTTCAATCAGACAGTGGAGAGAGCAGAAGCAGACTGAATCTGGCTGTTGGCAGCCACCTCTCACGTCACTGCTCCTGATTTTCTCCTGCCTGAAGTCTAGAGTGCAGCACGGTCGTAAGTAGCTGCATAGAATGGTGTGACCCATTTGGAGCACAGCACATTAAGAAAGTTGCTGCTAAACAAACCTTTTAATGTTGAGAAAAATGTAAAGAAAGATTTAAATATACCAGGTAGGTTCAGTCTAGGGAGGAGAGACGATGAGGAAAGTCAGATACATAATAAACTGGCATAAAAAGAACAATGATGACTTACTCTCCATGTAATTGGCTTGGTTCTTTTAGGTTAATTCAGTATGCTTGGGGAATAACTAGCATAACAGTGAAATGCTACAGGAAGCAACTTAAGGTTTGGAATCTATGATATGGGAGGCTTATGAACAACAGGGGGACAAACACCAGTTAAGAAGGGTTCAGACATACTTGATGTGCTTCAGAAAAAGGGAAATTGAGTAAATGGCTTCTACAGTTTCTTTAAAATCATGTGTTTGATTCTACAGTTAGCATGAATAACACTTAAGCTTGCATGAAGTCACTGCATTTTTTTAAGCAAGTTAAACTTACAGGAAGAAAAAAATAACTAAAACAAACCACGCAGATTTTGCTGCTTAATTTTGGTAAAATAATATAAGTAACTTGATCTTCACGTTAACATTGCTATTCCATGTTGCCAACATCACTGAAAGCAGCTCAACAAATGTAACTGCTGTTTCTGAACTTTTTTCTGAAGAGAAGTGATGCTTCTAACAAACATAAAAAATGACTTCATTGCTAGTGATTTTATATTACAATTTAGATTAAGTTTTATTTGCATATTAGTCTTTAAAAGGAAGCTAAGGAAAACACGTACTAAAACCAACCAAACAAAATTAAAACCCTAAAATTACTAATGACAATGTATACTCACTTTTAAAAATCCTGCTATTTTATGACTGACTTTTTGAACACTCCAAACCAAAGTACTTTATTTCCACATATTATCAAAATAGCTATTTGTTTTCAGATTAGAGTAAAACCTCACAGAGGAAAGAAACGCATAAAACTGTACATCATTATTTTACAATTAGTGTTCAGATGCTTATTGGGTTCTGCAGGCAATTTCCTAAAGTCATAGATACAAAAATAGAGAATCATCTTTATTAATGAGGTATTCATTTGTTCAGATCAGATTTCTTGGGATACAGCCTTCTATTTGGACTTCAGCAGGCCACCCATTGTATCTGTTCTTCTTGCGGTCAGAGTGGTTTATCTGTTTAAAAATTTAAAAGTAAAAATAAAAAATAAAAATTTGGTACTCCATTTATGAACCAGTTTGTTCAAACTCATACAACAGAAGGGGGTAATGGGGTAGGACTGGGAAGCTGAGTAATACATTGCACATCTTGCTCAACATAATGGGTGAAAATTCCCCCAGTTTCTCTCTTACACAGAGTGCTTTACTTATTTCCCAGATGGCTGTCTTAATATACACTAAATTGAACACCTTTTTCCTGCAGAAGCTCTGTATGTGAAGAAGATTGCAACAGTATTTTAGGAAAAAAACCCAACCAAACAGCTATGAAAGTTTCATGAGCCTTTAGAGGGAGTCACTATCATCAAGCGAACTGACCTCTGTATTGGGTTTTCTCATTTCTGTCGGCCTCTGTCATACAAATGAGCACTCCTGGGCTTATAGAAAGCGAATACAACAAGGTCACAGATGCAGACAGAAATCTGATGTAAAAAACGGTACCTTTAGTCCTCCTGAAGCCTGAGGGCATCTTATTCAGAAAAGTTTTATAATGCAAATGTTGCCGTATTTGCATGGCCAGTCTGTGCCAGCCCAATTTTCACATAAATATAGGCTTCATTTTAGTAATCCTTGGAATTTGTTCTTCCAGAAGAAAATGTAAGTCTCTGTACAGCATGTCAGCTTGGACATTCTAAAACTGAAACTCTCTAGAATCACTGGTCACTTCTGAAATTTGTGCACAGACGGTTTAGTGCTGGTGTGGTTGAAGTCAGTACTGTACATGGCCCAGATCCAAAGCAAAGAATGATGACACATTAGAGAACTTGCTTTGTGCGACTGAGGCTTACTGAACAGACTACAGGTATAGCTAACACATGAAATCTGCACCTGAAGATTATACCTTATATACAGAAAAATAAGTGAAAATAAAATGAACCTGACCTTTTCTTTTTGGATGTCATCTGGCAGCCTGAAGCCTTTGGCAGCTATAAAAACCCAACTTGACCTGAACTTCATATTCCATATTTCTTTACTTCCCAGCTCTTCTACTGACTTTTTGGCGTCATTTTTCAACCTAGGAAAATGTAGTGGAGAAAAGCTTTAAAAATTCAGTATGTGAAAAATGCTGAACAAGAAACCAGCTGAATCATGCTTTACATTAGCAACTCAGGAGAAGCAAAAACGAGAAGTTTAAAAAACCCTGAAAGCTGTCTTAGTAGCATGCTGTTATGCTTCCAGAGCAAAGTTATTTTTCTTTCTCCTCTCCACCTTCCTGGTGTTAATACAGCCAGTTAGTAACAGCAGAGCAGAAACAAAAAAGTTTCTCAAATACTATTTGATGTTTCAGGCCTTCTTAAATAAGGACATCAATTGTTTATCAAATGAACGATTAAGTCTTCTGCTGTATAGTTACCATATAATGAATTTAACTAAAAAAACCCTCAAGGTTCAAAAGCACTTGAAGATTCAGATTAAGATGCCAGAAGGAATGCAAACTAGATACATTGTAATTGGAGGTGGGGACACCTTCTAACAGGTTACCTCTGTGACCCAGAGGTAAGAACAGTGCCCTCTAGGAGAATAACTAGTGCTTTCAAACAAATGTAATGCTATCTATCCATTTTTGGAATCATCAGCATACATGGTATGGGTAAGCACTGAATGGACATGGATTAAAAAACTTTTTAGCCAGGGAATGAGAGAACAACCCTGACTATAGAATGAAATTTACCATTCCTTTACACCATTATGCAATCGTAATTTTCAAGCTATTCATTGCTCTGTTCCTTAGCCTGTCATAGATAACTTGCTTACCGGGTGCTTCCATCATCATGAGTCACCATCAGAAGGAGAGACTTTTCTGGAGCATTTTTAATGAAAGCCATCATCTCTCCTGAGTGGTCTGTTGAATCAATTACAAACTGATTATACATTACAAACATATCACATTCCACTTACTTTGAACCTGCTTTCACTTTTTGGCCTCATCTATTCAAAATGAGACCTAACTAGGCTTTTTATGTTTACAGGCAGAAGACTTAATCCTGAAAAGAACAGAAAACTGCCAGCTGTCACTGAAGGCTAGGAGAGCACGAACTGGTCTGCATTTCCCAGTAGTAAACACAGATACTTCTGAACTTCTATGAAAGTCATTTATGTGCAGGGTGAGTATATAGGTGGCTTCTTATGCTTACCTCACACACCATTATACATACAAGCTAAGCATGGAATAGGCCGGGAGAAGTCACTGCTACTCTGAGCTTCCTACTAGCATGCTAACTACAGAGCTGAGTTACATACTTCACTGTCCACCCACTTTGATTAATTGGCAGCCTATTTGCAGCACTAAGGTATTTATTTGTTTTGCAATTGCTAAACATACATGAGACACTTGTCTTCCATATAAAAAAACTGTAACAGGCACCCTGGAGACATTACTGTCTATATACCGTATATGAATTGTAGCCCCATGATTAGCCCCAGTGCATTCTATTTTGATGTAAGGTCAAAAGCATTCTTAAGTGGTCAAAGAATCGTATTTCAGTGCACTACAGCATTCTGTTTTCCTTACTAATGGTAATGAAATTGCTATTGTTCAAAGTTTGGAAAGTGTGTTAGGAGCTAGTCTTAAAGTAGATCATCTTTCTAGCTATATGGAAGGATGGTAAGAGACAGACTACCATATTTCTTATGATGATTTTACAACTAAACTAGAAGAAAATATGTCAAGAAACGGAATTTTTCTGAGGGAAGCATCTGGATGTGGTACCAGATTAAGTGCTATTCCTACCAGACTGAAATAATGGAGGGGGAGACACTTAAAAAACAGCAACTTGACAATTGAAAAAAAAAAAAAAAAAAAAGACAATTACCTATCTCAACCAACAGGAGAAATTCAGCTTATCAGGCTAAATTTGTCATCAGATCTGGTCGAAGCATATTTTATGAAGAAAACAGCTGTTTGTTTCTAGCTGATCCCCATCAATACTGCAATCATAGTAATTTGAAAGTGTAGGATAATCATGTAAGTCATTCCTTAACACTGAAACACTAACAGAAGTTCTGTTAGACTCTTTTCCTTACCTCCTTTCCACATGTCAAAAAATTTTGTTGATGTAACTTTTCCTGTTTTATCTGTAATTAAAACAAGAAGTTGTGTAAATAGGAGCAAAAATTATTAAAATCAATCAGCATATACAGTGTTTTCAGCTAAAGCTAGGCACCTCTATTTTTGTGTATTACTGGGCCTCTTTTGCTTAGGTTTTTAAATTGGAAGGAATATGGAATAATATCAATTTAAGAGAATATTTCGTTTCATGTAGTCTTTGAATCATCAAATTACAAAGACATTTTTATTACTTTTTATTTTAAAGAAGAAATTCATTTTACTGTGTCCTTCCATGTTTTTGTATCTACATATACTAAACTAGATCACAACCATAATAGTAAAAATGGTTACACCTAAGACTGTTTGACTGAGCTTTAACACTATTCTGTGCAGTGTTTCAGATGTGAAGGCCTTCATACCATTTGAATGTCGGTGGACAGAAACTGAACATTCATCATTACTGCATGAGAAATTAGGCACGCAAACAATTAGTAACAAAACATTTTGGTCAATATTCATCATTAATTATGCTGCAGCTTAGATGGCTATCTATTTAAATAACACATGTACAAGTGGAAACACTTTTCAGATTTCTAAATCCATGTCAATTGTGTTAAACTGATTTTTGTTATCCAAGACCCTGGCTGGATTCCTGTTACTGAGAGGGTCTTTTCCATTTAGAATGCACCAGCTCATTTCTAGTAACAAGATCCAGTAGTTCCTGATTCCTTTCTGGCTTACCTTTTAACCATATAGTGTGAAATCATAAAAGCAGACACTTTTGAACATAGGACTCTAAATGGAAGGTTTATTGTGTGGATGAAGGGAAAAGGTGGCAAAAATGTGTCAGCCGTAAAAGCATTCTAGAACTGGGTTTATTCTGAGCAGAGATCACAGAAAATGTTTACATAAAAAAGGTATGTCTGTGTCTAGCACTTTTTTCTCTTACTTACAATTCACAATGGCAATGTTTATACCTCTTCCAACATTACCCTTCTCTTCACTTATAAGCCTGGAATAGGAGTAAACACGGTATCAGTATGATGCATCCATCCAGAAGCTCTGACCCAAAGTTATATTTACCAGTGCTAAGTCATTTACTGATGGTCATATTTTCTTCAGTTATTTAATTCAAGACTTTGTAGCAAACAAGAGCTATGGCATAAATATCTTCTACATTTTATTAGTTTCCTTCAACCATACACAATTAATCTTTTAAAATGAGCCAGATCAACAAAGTACTTCATACAAATATACCCAGAAAAATAAAGGAGAAAAAGCCCTAACCCAAGATAACATGTGGTTTTGTGGCAGTATTCTATGTGGACTATAGCACAAAAGATCATAGCAAAGGTTTTGAAGTCATTCTACTTGTCTATTTTGAAAAGCCATGAAAGAACCTGACTTTGAGAAGGTGTTGACCATTCAATGTACTGTAAACTTGCTCTCCTGCACCATGAAAACTAAAAATCATACTTGAAGCTAACAGTTGAATGTATCTTACATAGAGGAACAAAAAAAAACCCTGATATTAGGTATTTAACAAAAAAAAAACAAAACCAAACCAACTCTTTCTGCTGCTGACCAAAATGAAACACCCTTCTTCACACTACAAAGCACTTGCTTAGATTTAAAGTTGGACAGTTACTCACAGCTCATCCTCAAAACAAATTTTAGCCAGCTTTTCTTTGCCACCGCCACTAAGAATCCGATAGGCATAGCTCCCTGGTGAGCAGGGAGACCAGTGATCACATTTCTGTCTTTTTGGGACTGGAGCTACAAGAAGAAAGATGAGAAGATCATTTATTGGATGGTGCAAAAACAATTTATGGAAAGAATCACTTAATATCAACATGCTAAGCTCAAACATACATATACAGAACCCAGTCCTGCCAGGTTTCCAGTATCATGGGGTGCTGGTTTTGGATGGGGTAGAGTTAATTTTCTTCACAGTAGCCAGTACGGGTTGTGTTTGGAATCTGTGCTGGAAAGTGTTGATAACACAGGGATGTTTTAGTCTCTGCTGAGCAGTTGCTTACACAGAGCCAAGGCATTTTCTGCTCATCACACCACACCATCAGTGATGGCTGGGGATGCACAAGGAGCTGGGAGGGGACACAGCCGGGACAGCTGACCCCAACTGACCCAAGGGATATCCCATATCATATGGGGTCATGCTCAGCATGTAAAGCTGGGGGAAGAAGAAGGAAGGGGCATTCATCCAGAGTGATGGCAATTTTCTTCCCAAGTACCTGTCACGTGTGATGGAGGCCTGCTCTCCTGGAGAGGGCTGAACACCTGCCTGCCCATGGGATGTGGTGAATAAATTCCTTGTTTTGCTTTTCCTGCATGTGCAGCTTTTGCTTTACCTATTAAAAACTATCTTTACCTCAACCCATGAGTGTTCTCACTTCTACCCTTTGGATTTTCTTCCCCATCCCACCAGGGGGAAGTGGGTGAGTGGCTGTTTGGGGCTTAGTTGCTTGCTGAGGTTAAACCACAACATATGGCAACATTATCTCACTCAGGGCTTTAAGTTATTGACTTTCAAACAGCTGCTGGGCCAAAAGTGAGATTATTTAGGGAAAAATGTCCCATATAATTTGATTTAATCTGAATCCAGGGTGATTATTTTGTGATATTTCATATAACAGGAAAGAAGGGCTGGAGGGTTGAAGGTTTACTACCCTGAAGTTCATAATGATTTCATTTTAAGGCTTTTTCACTTTATGGCAACATAGACATAAAATGAGGAAAATGTACATATTAAGCCACCCAGTCAGATCTGAGACAAAAAGTAATGAGAATTTAATTACAAAGTGTGGTTAGTGATTCAACACTTTACCATAACTATAAAATGCATGTGATAGAACCAAAGCTGCAGCTACAGCTGTGTGCTTATATGCCAGCAAACAAATAAGGTGTTCTTACATTACTATTCAATTAATTATATTTGCATACTGGCAAATATAGGCTGATACTGTGTTTCTTGAAAGACAGCGTCTTAGAAATAGTTCAGACTTGTACTTTACAGAGCCAACTGCATTCTTACCATAGAACATATTTGTTAGCTAACAAGCCATTTATCATTTATCGTGTAAATAGGCAACATCACATATAACATAAGGAAAAAAAAAAGAAACACAACTACACACCCCTCAACACTGGTTTCTTTCCAATGTCTTGAAGATTAGCCATAGGTGTTATTGTCTTTTGGGTTAAAAGAGCAGCGAGTAAGTATCCCAAGCACCAAGCAGCCAACAAAGTCACCAGAATCCTTCCTAATTTCACAACACCTGCCAGGGAATGAGGGTAAGAAAACCACAGAGACATAAAGATGCTTTCATAGCAACACACAAACTCTTGTATTTTCTTTGGCATTGCTTCAGAAACTGATTACTTCTGACACGCTATGTTAGCCACAGCCTTCAGAGGCAATTTATTTGTTGCATTCCCATCTCTGACAATCCCTGTTGTTCCTAAAACTTGATCTTCAAGCAGAGACCTCCCCACAAGGCTCCTCTCAATCCACACCCTGTATACCCCGAAGAAACATGAAGTTCAACTTAATCCTCCTGGGATTTTGACTCTGGAATTTAAGTACCAGATATACACATGACTTTATGGGTAGTATGCAGTTACTACTGATTTTCTGTGACAGGCAGACACTACAGGAACGGTTTGAAACACCAACCATAAAAGGAACTCCCTCCATCCACCCTTTTGACGTGCTGGGTAAAAGTAACTGAAGAAGGCCCAAATAACTTCACACAATGAGCTTTGACTACATTTAAACATGACTAGAGTGACTGTTTCACCTTCTCTCAGTTACATGACAGCTTCCCTGGGCTGTATTAGCAGTGCATCTCTACACTAGGAAAACCATGGGATTCACAATTTTCCTATGAAAAATATGAATAAATTCCATAGTGGGTATCATCTCCTCTTCCTTGTCATCAGAAATGCTAACATGCATTCCTGATCTAGAAGAAATGCACTACCTAATTTATAAACAAGGAAGTATCACACTGCAATTGTGAAACTGATGTTTGTATGTCATATTTCCTGATCTGTAAAGAAATATGCCCTTGAACATAATGATCTGTTAAAAGGAAAAAGGAAAATTTTTAGTTTCATAGGCCTGAAAATCAAGTTCAACAGAACCAATGTCCAAAAATATCGAGTATGTTCACTTTGACAATCTGCTAGAACATATTGTTGTATTATATAGCCTAAATCTTCCTTGAACCACTTTACATTCCTTTCCTTCCTTGAACTGCTACTAAGATTTCTGCCCTACCCCTTCTCTAGAATACGACCAAATTGTTCACTTGCTCTCCTCAAGTCCAGTTTTGCAGGTCCTACCAGTCTCCCGTGAATTCTGCCAAATTAGTCTGCTTCTTTTACTGCAGAACGGATACACTAGTCCAACACACACATGATTCTGGAGGCTCTACTTCTGATTATTCATGCCACAAATAAGTTTGGACATTGAAGTTAGGAACATTGAAGGTTCTTCTGTAAATAATTCCAGTTTCTCATTTGTTGAATCAGGAAAAGAATTAAAAAAGAGGACAGTAAACCCTTTTAAGATACTGATCTGAGCTCTTAAAACGTTCTGTGACATTGTATTCATTGTATTTAGGAGTCACAAGTACGTGCATTTGTGTGACTGTAACAAAGATACTCTGAGAAAGTTACTGTATTTTCATCAAAGGATTAAGATTGAGAAAGTAATATAATGAATCTTCAGAGAGATAAAGCATTTTCAAATTATTTCCTCAGTCTAGAGAAATCTGTCTCTCCCACTGGTAGTGATACAAGCCTGCACCAAAATAATACTGAAAATTACTCCAACATTTCATTCATACAGTGAAAGTGGACAAGAACATTGACAAAGTTCACATGCACAAAGAAGGAAGCTGCTGGAACCGAGCAGAATTAAACTTACTTGCCTTTTCTATTTTGAGTGTGTATACATATATGTATAAACACACTCTCTCTATATATAGAAAAAATATATTTTACACATATAAATATATATATAATATATACTACATATATATTTGTAAAATCAGACCTATACACAAAACATAATTTGAAAAGGAGATTAAATCACCATTTTCAAAGACAAAACTTGGAAAGAATTAAGTGGAAACTACAAGTCTATTTAAAGATTTCAGCGATTATTTCTTTTCAGGGTTTGGGGTGCATTGTAAAGATCTCTGAGACCAACAAGCCAGGTTTTAATTTGCTTTTTCTGTTGTTCGTTTAGCAGGTTTGTCTTTACAGTGATTTAGCACTGTTTTTCATCATAATTGTGGATCAACTCTGTGGCAAAATAGGCTCAACAATTCAGCATTTTACCTAAGCAGAAGGGAAAATACAGACTATCTAACTTCTGTTTCTATATTCCATGTTTTACTTCAACAGCAAGCTGCTTAAACTTTTCTCAAATATGACTTCTAAGGTTTAAGGAATACATTTACCGAATCTTCTACATAGTTCAACTCCTGTTTTTCCTTTCTTAGGTTCATAATGCACTGGGGGGCCGCACTGACCCCATCTGCTGGGTCCAGCCAGATCTCTTAGCTTTACTGAGGTTACATATCCTGCACATGTATACTCTTTTTTTTGAGTACCTGCAGAGACATGCAGAAAACTCTACACAACAGCAGTTAGGCCATAAACTCAGGCAAACATAGGATAGTTAAGGGAGCTTAAGATTTGCTATCCACAGCAGTTGGGAGTTATAAAAATCGAAGTCCAATCTACATTCAGGAAAACAAGACAGTGTTTTTGTTGATTTTTAAGGCTGTGGCTCCTCGACCCGCTACTTGGCACAGAACGGAGGAGCAGGAAGGGGACAGCGTGCCACAGAGGTGCTTGCTATGCTCTGAGAGGTGGCACAAACCTTCCTCTCTCCGTTTCCGCCACAGAGAAGTACTCAGGCAGAGATACTCAGCAATACTTACGGTGCCAGATAGGCAAGAGGAGCAGGAAAGAAGGCACCATGGGTGCTGATCCTCTTTCAGACGCTGCCCGAGGCTCAGCTCTGAGACCTAGCCCCAGCATCAGCCCCTCCGCCCCGGCCCGGAAGCTCGGCTCACCCTGGCTTCAGAGAACACCGTCGGGAACAACCTTCCTGCCCCGACCTCCCTGCCACAGGGCTGGCCCGGTCAGCGGGCAAGCGGGTCCAGATCACCCACCTGAGGAGGGCGCAAGGAGACAGCGAGGCACCGACAGCCTCGGCGGGGGGTACCGGGCGGCGACAGCGGCGCCCTGCTCACTCGGCGCCGCGACCCCCGCACCCGCGGGGCTGCTACTCACATTGTCGGTTCAGCCACATCATTCACCCGCCCTGCCTCCTCGTCTTCGTCCCTCTCCCCCGCCTCGTCCTGCAGCCACTGGGACGGGTGCGGGAAGGGGAGCGTCCACCTGTCAGCGCCGCACCGCCCCGACGCCGCCGGCGGCACAGCACGGCACGGCACGGCACGGCACCGCCGGCCGAGCCCCGTCGCCCTGGGCCATTTCCTCTGCCGGGGAGGCCACCTTCTCTGCCCCTTGGGCTTTTTCCTGGTAATGGCCAGGGTTTGCCTAGTGTTTCAGCTATCGCTATGGCAGAGCAGAGCCCCACTGTAGCCCCCTCCTTCCTCCAGTCACCGCCACAGCACTGCGATGACTCAAGTCCTATCACGGGCACCAACTCACACGGCTGTACCCTTGAATCATCTTTTCTTGTCGTGGGCCCTGCTGGTGTTGCAGACAAAGTGTCATGGAGCCTTTGGCTGTTTCCTCCCCCCTGTGGTAGCTTGGTCAGTTCTCAGTTGCCATCACCCCTGTGAGTATTGTAAGAAAAATGTAGGAGGTTTTGTTGTGAGCGAGCTATAGGCAGAATGGAAGATCTGTAGGGCATGGGGTTCGAGGATGTGGATCCCAGTCTAGGGAGTTGGGATAATTATTACCAAGTCGGTGATAGGCACATCTGCATGCAATATGTTACACAGATAAGGAGTTCATGTAACTGCAAGGCTTGAACGCATGCACCAGAAGCAAAGTTCAAAGTGCACTCATGAAGAAGACTTGGAGCCTTCTTCCCTATGACCACCAGAGACCCTCTGAGAGCTGTCAGAGGGGAGGGGTTTGGGTTCATGGAACGTGTAAATAATTTCTCAGAAGAGGGCGGGCATAATTGAGAAACAAAACCTAGAAAGGTATATAAACTGTAAATATCTGCTGAGCGGGTGTGCTCATTTCCCTGAAGGATGATGCACCCAGCATGCTGCTATTAAAGGGCTCTTTGCTTCACAATTCCCATCTGTGAAATTTTGATTGCTGAGCAGGTTTCTCACAACCCACCAAAAAACCTGGCACCACTTGGACTCAAGATGTGGGCAGCATCCCCACTGAGGCACTGGAACAAGTTGCCCAGAGAAGCTGTGGCTGCCCCATCCCAGGAGGTGTTCAAGTCCAAGCTAGATGGGCCTTTGAGCTACCTACCTGGTCTAGTGAAGCTGTCTTTGCCCATGGCAAGGGGTGGGAAATAGCTGGTCTTTAAGATCCTTTCCAGTCTAAGCCATTCTCTGATTCTATGATTTACTCCCACTCCCCAGCCTCCCAAAGCCAGATGTAAGGAGTGCGATACTACAGCACAGTGCTGGCAGCGCACATTTTCTAGTCTGTGTCAGTTAACATGAAACAAAGGTGATGCCCATCAAGATCCCCACATCGTGGACTTGCTTTTCTGGTTTTAAAACTTCCGGTTTCCAACATGCTCTGGTTAATAGATGTTTGGAGGCCTGTGTGGGTGCTGTGCCCCACCAGTACCAGTCAGCCCTGACTATGAACCAAGGAAATTACGACTTACATCAAGAACAGCTTCTAAGGACTGAAGTAGCCACTCAAACATGTTCAGGAAACTGAGCTGAAGACCTTCAAGCTGGGCAAAACACAAACAAGGAAGCTAGTGATTTCACTCTGAAAATTGCTCAAACTACGCTGTGAATTACAATTTGCCCTTAAAACTCTCAACCTGTAGTAACCCTTAAGCTTCTTTGTTCCCTCTGCCTCTAGTTATGCACAAAAATTATGTTTAGCTCAGCAAACAGATGAATAAAATTCTGCAGGAGAGCACATACAGGGTTGCAGCCAGACTGGGGCTTTTGCCTTCCTCCCAGGGCACTCATAAAAGCTATAAATGGTCCCAGCCCCTGGTAGAGAGGCGTTTCTTTTCCTTCTCTGCAAGTGGGATATTATAGTATCCTATAAATTACAGGTGAAGCCTGAGGGCGTAATTGCTGCTGGTTATTTTCCAGTGTACTGGAGCTTGCAAATGAAAAGCAACATGCAATGAAACCTAGGTGTGCGAATAATTAAAGCTAAAGCATGGGACAAATAAACAGAAGAAATGAAAAGCACAGGACAAAAAGGAAAAAGAGTTATGAGTGGGCAAGAGAAAGTTAAGGACAACACTGGTCTGGGTTACTTTTCCAAATATGCAGTTATTTCTGCAGGAACTGCTATCCTGCAAGACAGCACATCAGAAAATGGCGTATCTGCTAATAAATGACTGAAACTATTGAAGAGTGCATTTATAACCTTTAAAGTAAAAATAATGTGTCTTAAACCCAAAATGCTACAGTTTGTGGTAGCCAGATGAAAAATTTTGCTACTTTTATTAAAGCAAGGAAAATTTATTAGAATCAGGATAATTTAGTTTTGGAATAAATTTATTGTATGAACATTGGTGGGTCACAGCCTCCATGGATAAAAGTTTTAAGCCTCTAGGAGTTTTGTCACTTTCTCAAAGCCTTTCTGTTGAAAACCCCATCATTAGCAATCAGTGTCTGTTGGATAACTGCCAATTTAGCTGCTTTTACCCACAAGAAAATTGTAGTAGGTTTCATCATTTTCAGTACTGCCACAGCTACACTGAACTACACTCAAGCATTTGCTACAAAACCAGGCAACACAGAAATTGCTTTGCTTGCGTGCCGAAGCCCAGGGATCCAGCGGCATCTAGCTGAGGGGAATTTAGATTCCAAAGGACCAGGGAACTTTGAAATGTTTTACTTCAGGTATTTAATTTTGTGTCTGCAAAAGAAAAGTAATACTGTTCTTTCTCTAGTAATTAATTAGAGATGTGGGATGCAGAACACTTTTGAAGCATCTTTTCTGTCCTTGCTCTGTAACCATTCATTCTGTAATTTGGAAGGTTAGAGAAAGATTTTCAAAACATGAATCTTCACTCTCAATGCTTGTGAGGCTGTGAGACCCTTTGGTGATAAGCAGCACAGTAAATCTGCCCAGGATACAAATAACCCTTGCAGACACTAAATGGAACAGGTGAAGGTATGTACACAGTGCTTAAGTGTTATTCTTGTCTTACCAACACAAAGCTGCAGTCATTATGAGAAATTTATTGGCATTTGCTAACACTGCAAAATTACAAGAGATCAAGTTTTTGTTTACCCTTTGAGCCACTATACCTCCAAAGTTATTTTCTGTATCTATTGCACTTGGGTAGCAAATTAGCAAAAGTGTCATTACACCCCTTGCAGCTCACATGTTTTCTGCCCATCCACAAACGGCCAACAATGTATTTTTACTGCTGCTAGGATCGATTAAAAAAACTTATGATTTAAAATGGAGGCAGAGTTTGTAAGGCAGAGAAAGAGTATTGTACCAAATTTTTGCTTGTAGAGGTCACAAGGAGTTCAAGAGGTACCAGAAAAACTAGACCACCTACATAAAATATGCAACTGATGCTTAAGTTAACTAATTTTACCTAAGTCTTGGGACAGATACACATACACACTGACAATAGGGGTGGCAATAAGGAAGAGCAGATCTTTAAGCTGCCATAACAGCCATGCTCCACCATGTGCTTGTGCCCAAAATTCAGGTAGAACCTCAGCATCTTGAATTGTGATAGCATCAACAGT